GTTCAGCCGGGCTTGCCAACAGCTCGACCAGAGAAGATGTCCATGAAAACGAACTTAGCACAAGGACCGCTCTGGGTTCGGAAGGGGCTCGCTGTTCCTTAGGCCACTCCGTGGTGGTTCCTCCAGCCCTCCTCGTTGACCCAGGCACTTTCCGTCCCGAGGAGGCTTCGCTCCCTATTACGAAGGCCTTACGGCCTGTGCCACCGACCCTGCAGGGGGACGACGACGACGACGGCGTCGGCGACGTCGACGACGACGCTGTCGATTCTGGGCCCTCTTGGGAGCCTCCTGGGCCCTGCTGTGGGGGCCTCTCTGGGGACCTCGGTCCTCGTGTATCAGGCGATCGCAAACATGGATTAAGGGGGCGTGGATTAGCGACGGGTCCCCTCTCTATGGGAAATCGCGGATTTCCGCCGCCGAACGAGGCGGCGCCGGCCGCATTTTGGAGGGCACCTCCCCCGATCCATGGATTCGGCGACCGCGCGCCAAATCCATGGATCGCTAATCCATGTTTGCGCGCCCCCGAATGTCAGCGGCCCGGCTGTACCCGAGTGGGACACGGGTCCCTTCAGGGCTCCTGCTGCCCTATCCTCCCTCTCCCGGCCTGGCCTGGGCCGTCCCCCTCCTCCTCCTCCTCCTCCTCCTCCTCCTCCTCCTACCTCCTCCTCCTCCTCCTCCTACCTCCTCCTCCTCCTGCTTCCTCCTTTTCCTCCTTCCTGTTCTGCCTTCCCGTGCCTCCTTGTCTCTCTGCTGCTGCGTGCGCCCCCGTCCCTCGGGCCGAATAAGAGTGGCGGGGTACGACATCTGCTGCATGCAGCTGGTTTTGGCCCCGCCGCTGGGCCCATTCCTCAATACATGAGGCATTCCGAAAAGGAGTTGTCACCTCTTCTTCGGCGGAAGGCCGCCGAAGGTCGGCGGAGGTCGGCGGAAGTAAAACGGCGGCGGTTCCGCCGGCGGAAGCCGGCGGAAGCCGGCGGAAGCTCGGCGGAAGCCGGCGGAAGTAAAAGTTGACCTCCCAAGAGATGACAGCGTTTTTGGGTTCAGGGTGTCCCGAACCCGCTACATGGGCGCCTCCCGGCGTCAGGAGGTTCCAGGAAAATCAGCTACGCGAGTCGATTCTCTGCCCTGCCCTCTGCTATCCTACCCTTTCGCCCCCCGCGAGTCGCAATTCCACCCGCCACCCGCAAGTGCAAACGCAGCAAGGCAGCCGCACTGGAACGGTCCACGCAGCAGCATCGACACTCATATCATGTTACTGGCATTCGATCGGTCTTCGGGGCGGGGTCTTGCCATCGCGCGCTGAACACACTTGAAAACAGTAGACAGACAGGCGCCGGCGCTCGCGACGATGTCCCAGTCGACTCTCAGCTCTCACACGTGTATGTTCATAACGTTATTTGTGTGAAAATGTTGTGGGGCAAGGTGGCGAGACTTCGAGGACGGCGTCTGTGGGCAATTCAAGATCCAGACTCAAACAACATATTTCTCTTCCCTTCGACTTGCGTGTCCTTGTCGGGCATCCAGTGTTGATCCTTTTGTGAAGCTGGATTTGCTTTGGCAGGAAGTGTCTCAGCCCCAGGCTAAGCACATCTATGGAAGGTACAATTTTGTGGTGGCAATGCAGCCTCCATCTTCTGCTGCTGCTGTTGATGATGCGGATGCTGAATTTGCTGTTGATGCTGAGGCTGCTGAGGCTGCTGATGTTGATGATGCTGCTGCTGATGATGAGACATACGTATACTATATATATATATATGTATACGCGTTGTCTCCAATCGAATGTGGCGTGACACATTCATGCAGATAACCTTCCTGCATGGAGTCATGTGCGCGACTCGTTTCTCACTCTAACCGCCTCTACTCGACAACTCGACCTGACTCCAACACTAACATTGTTACCCAGGTGCCTGCGGCAAGTCCCGCCACCGTGCCAGCTCAGCCCGTTGGGTGGCAAAGCTTCGAGCACCGACGGCCGTCACATGTGACACCTTTCGTTTTCATTCCTCGAGGAGTTCTCAGGGAGCTCATTTTTGCCGTCTTGGGGCTGCCTTGTGCTCCCGTAGAGCAGTCTGGGTGGTCACTTGGGGCCCTCGTGGGCGGGCTTGGGGCTCTCTTCGGCCGTCTTGGGCCGTCTTCGGGCCATCTTGGCCATCGAGGGGTCTCTTGGTGCCGTCGTGGGGCCGTCTCGGGGCCGCGTTGGGCCGTCGGGAGGCCCTCCCAGGCCGCCCCTCTGTGGGGACAGCCTGGGGGCTCTCTTGGGGCCGTCCTGGGCTGTGCTGTTGGTGGGCTACCTTGAGGCTGCTTTTGGAGGATCGTTTCGTCATGTTTGGGCTTTGCTGGGCAGTCTTGAGGCAATCTTTCGGGCCTCAAGAACTGTCTGGGGCTGCGGGGAAACCCGAAAAGGCGAAGACGCCCAAGTCTTCGAAACACCATCGGAAAATCAGTGATGCTGGATTCTTCTGGCTCTATTGGGGGTCGTCTTGTTGTGCTCTTAGGCTGTCTCGGGGTCCGCTTGGGCCATCTCGAGGCCATCTCGGGCCACCCTGGGGCCATCTTGGGCCGCCTTGGAGGCATCTTGGACCAGCTTGGCGGCTTTGGTTGCCTGGCTGGCCCGTTTGGGGACATCGAGGGGCGCACCCCCTTTGTTTTTGTAGAAGCGATCGTGGGTTCGAGATGGCAGACCCGTTGTTGTTCACGAGGAATCGTGGTCCCAGGACGGCTGGCGGTGCATGCGACACTCTGCGCGCCAGCGGGGCGGGGCCCCTGGGAAGAAATACTGAAACCGTACCAGGCAGCCCTTAGCATTCTACCACGCCTCAACGTGCCATGGTGTGGTGTGGTGGATCCGATCCCGAACACTGTCTTTGCAAAGTTGTACCATGCGGGTCCCACGCGCGCACTCTTCCAACAAACAGATGCGGGCCATACCCCATCCAGGTCCCAGCACCTGCACCATCAAACGGTATTACGTTGTGAAAGTGTGTGGGTATTACAAGGGGGGAGTACGTTCTTGTGTTTGCACACATACATATCCATATGTGTAGGTACACACGTATATACATATGCATATATGTGTGTACAAGATATACCATGTGGGCTACACGAGTGCGTGTGTTCAAGATACTGAGAAAGCATGACGTGTCACATATCCAGCTGTCTGCGGCGAGTCCCACCACCGTGCCAGCCCAGCATTCGGGGTGGCGACTGTTCGGGGGTGGGACATCTGGGACGAGGACGAACAGGATGATGAGGATGATGCTGCTGATGATGAAGGTGATGACTCTGATGATGCTGATTATGTTGATGACGACGATAATGATTATGATGGTGATGCTGGTGGTGGTGGTTGTGATGATGAGCATGATTATCCGTAAGGGCTTCGCCCCCTGCCGCCGGCCCCCTCTCTCGGAGAATGCGCTATGCAAGAGCTATGTCATGAGGCCTGGGCGCTGTCTTGAAGCAGTATCGGAACTTCAAGCGAGGTCGACTCGTAATGAGCAAAACCAATAAATGACCAGAGGGGTTAATGCCACCGAATTTCAGGAATGTGGCAAATCCCATGTGTTTTTGGACCCTGACCCCGCCGATCTGCGTGCGTGGTGCCAATTTTTACCTACCCCAGCTATTCAGACAACACGCTCAGGGCGTGCTGAACCTGCTCGTTTGGGCCTCCTCCCCCTCCCGCGGTCCATCAACAAGGAACAGTAAGCAGCAAGAAACAGAAATGTAACAGTGGAAACTGGAAGCTGCAACTAGTACAGGAAACTGCGAACCTTCAGCCTACAGCCTGGTGGCCCCACAAGGGGGCTGGCGGATCATGATGTTGCTGGTGATGGTGAGATGATGATGGCGATGGCGATGATGCTGGCGATGGCGATGGCTATGGCGGTGATGATGACTATGATCCTGATGATGATGCTGCTGATGCTGATGATGCTGATGATGCTGATGATGGCGATGGTGATAATGCTAGTGTGGTGATGAGGTTGATGCGAGTGTTGATCATGACAATGACGCTGATGCTGAGACTGATGAAGACTGTGATGATGATACTGTTGGTGATGATGAGGATGCTAATCATGATGATGCTGATTATGCTCATGATGATGACGATGTCGATGGCGATTGTGGTGATGACGATAGTGGTGGTGCTGATGATGGTGATGATGATTGTGATGGCGATGGCGACGATGGCGATGACGATGGCGGTGACAATGACGATGACGACGATGATGACGATGATGCTGATTATGCTGATGATGCTGATGATGATGACGATGGCGATGGCGATGATGACGACAATGATGATGCTGATGATGATGGTGATGATACTGATGATGCTCATGATGCTGATGATGGTGCTGATGCTGATGCTGATGCTGATGATGCTTATGAGGATGAGGATGTGGATAATCATGGCGATGCTGCTGATGCAGATGCTGATGCTGATGCTCCTGATGATGCTGCTGCTGATGGTGGTAATCATGATCATGATGCTGATGATGATGCTGATGATGATGATTATGATGCTGCTGATGTTGATGATGATGCTGATGCGGATGCTGATGCTGCTGCTGCTGATGATGATGATGCTGATGATGGTGATGATGATGGTGATGGTGATGGTGATGGTGATGATGGCAATGATGGTGGTGTTGGTGGTCGTGATGATGAGGATGAGGATGAGGCTGCGGATGATGATGATGATAATGATGATGATAATGATGCTGATGATGATGCTGATGATGCTGATGCTGCTGATGATGATGATGATGATGATGATGATGATGATGATGATGATGATGATGATGATGATGATGATGATGATGATGATGATGATGATGATGATGATGATGATGATGATGATGATGATGATGATGATGATGATGATGATGATGCTGCTGCTGCTGATGATGATGATGATGATGATGATGATGATGATGATGATGATGATGATGATGATGATGATGATGATGATGATGATGATGATGATGATGATG